TTGGGTGGAGACTCCTGCTTCGGTTAGTACGCGGTGATCCTGAAAGCCCGGCCGGGGACCGTGACATGAATGCTAACGTTTAGCGTCTTTTTAGCTTGCACCGTTCCGCGTTTAACGTTTATAGGGATTTGTCTGTACTGTTGGTTTAACTATATCAGAATGCTGGGTTGGATATCATATAGTTATAAAAAGGTCCAGGTTGGTTTTTAGTGGCTTACTGTCATATTAAGGTGGTTCTGTGTACGGTAGATTAACGATTATTACCACTTATGGTGGAGTGTTGTTGTTTACTGCTGTGGGATGTGGGTTTATGTTGGAGTTGTCTGACGTATGCGGGGGCTTGTAGTGTTAAACAGGATGTAGGAGAGGAGACGCAATGGTTTCAGTCATCTCCTTCAGTAGGCGAGACTGTCCAGTGTCGGTGCAGTAGTCTTGCGTCCATTCTTCTCCACCCCCCCTCCCCCTGTCGCGATTGTTGATCACTAATCTTTTTTTAGGGTTTTATATTTTTTTTTTTGATGAATGATTTTTTTTAAATTTTATTAAATGTTTTTTTATATTATCTTTTACTGCTTTTTAGTAAATGTTTTTAAACTGTTGCAAAATATTCTGCCGCGTTTATTGAGCAATGCAGCCTTAATTAAAGTTAATTATATGTGTTTACGAGAATTTATAATATTTGTAAAGTGTGCAAATTCGACTAGTGATCCAACTTTTTAAACTTTAGGTTATTGTGGGTTTGTTTTTTTTGTTTGTCTGATTAGTTTTCTGTTGCTCCGGCTTACTTGATTAGTTGTAATGCACAGGATCTGGAGAAATATTAAATGGGGTGGATGGGCATGGGTTTCTATGACAGTAATTTATATGGAGAGAAATCCTTGAATTTCCTTTCACACGGACTTTAAATGTAGGCCGATTAATTGGAGATATTAATTAATTATTATTAATAATATTATTATTAATTGGCATTTTGAGATAATCTGCATCCTGCTGTAAACATATGTTTGAATTTTCTATATAATACAACTAAATTATACTTCTTAGTTTTGATATCAGCATATTATATCCGCCATTGGCAGCCCTTCTCTCTAGATATCAGCGTGGACCACTATTTAAAGGTCCAGTGTAACATTTAGGAGGATCTATTTCTCGTTCCCAGGTTGTCAAATATAGACGCGAGCAGTATTCAGTTAGTCTTCACCGCTAGATTCCACTAAATCCTACACACTGGTCCGTTTATATTGTAATGTGACAGTCGCAGAGTGGATTTAGGACGGATGGAGACTTTAAAGGGTGGCATTCACACATGTTTACATTTTATGCGAAATGTTGATTTTAATAACTTAATTTCAGCAGATCAACCTCCTCACTCACTACCAGTAATTGTACCGTATGTTCTCAAACTCAGGTTTAAAGATTTAGTCTGGTTGCTGATGTGTTTGAGAACCCGGATATCTAGAGTGAGGAAGTTCCTAAAATCTTCATCAATAGCAATAATAAAACTGTTCAATTAAATGACAGATGCTTTAAATGCAAACCGCCATGAAAGCACATAACGAACGTGTCCTGGCTCACAAACAGCCTGACATATCCCTTGATAATGGAGCGTGCGATTAGTGAATCACCATAGCAGCTTCCACCCTTTGGAGTACACAACATATCGTCAGTCACAACAACCTACATCTGTTACATCTCAGCAAAACAACCCACAATGCCGAGGTACTCCGCAACAACACCGTGTGACGGTAGCATTGTAACCTGTGTGCCTTGATAAATAAAGTGTTTTTTTCCACTTAAAAATGATCAATAAGTACTGATATTGACTTAAATTAAACATTTTATTGTGATATATTTTCCAGCTGTCTATCGCCCAGCCCTATCTGGAGTCACAGGGGGATTAAAAGGTCTGCGGGTGCCTCGACAGACCCCTCGTTTTCCTCCCATCCTGAACCCTTACGTTCGGTTTCTCTTTGCGTTCTAGATGAACGTGGGCGTAGCTCACAGTGAGGTGAACCCCAACACGAGGGTGATGAACAGCAGAGGAATATGGCTCACCTACCTGCTGCTGACCGTCGTGTTGCACATCGTTCTGCTCAGCATTCCTTTCTTCACTGTGCCGCTCGTCTGGACCCTCACCAACGTCATCCACAACCTGGTCAGTTAAAATCCCGTCATGTCCATGGACTGAGTCATTAGGTTCTTTACATGAATCATTTATTACATGTGTTACTGTGTTTGTTTTTAGGGGTGGGCAGTACGGTGATATTTATCATGCAGGATACTGTCCGTACTGTGGGATTTGTGCTTTATGATATCTCTGTTTTGAATAGTTTGACATTTTGGCTATGTACACTATATTTGCTCATATTTCATATCTGTCTGTTAAATATGAAGCTACATTGAAATTAAAACACACCGCACAAACAACAATGCTTTATTCACCACACGTTTTTTGGCTCAGGATCAGTTTTCTCACCTGTTTTTGCTTTAATTTTGATGGACTTGAATTAAGAGATCACACTGGTCAGCAATTCACTGTGTGTGCGTTCTCAAAGTAATACACTGAAATATGAAACTACAAACAGGAGATGCTTAGCTTTGCACAAAGACAAGGAAACAGGGTGTACACAGCTAACCTGGATCTGTGCAGAGGTTAAAAATATCCGCCTATAAGCACCTCTAAAGCTTGTTAATCAATATTTTATATCTAATTTGTTTCATCTTTCACAAAAAACCAACAATAAGTTGTAGTTTTACATATTAAAAACTACAATGTGTGGAGTAGTTTAACTTAAGAGGTGCTGGTAGGCTGATTTTCCTAACCTTTCGACAGAGCTATGCTAAACTAAACGTCTCCTGAGACAGATTTGAGAGTGGTATTGATCTTCTCAACTTTCAGCAAGAAAGCAAATAAGCAAATTTCACAAAACTATTCCTTTTAATTTGAGATTTCTGTCTGATTTTTGCATTACACTGAATAATACTGTCTGCTTCTTTTATCCATTAACAATTTCTTGATTGACTTTGCAGGAAATCTACTATATCACAATATCTACTGATATCATGATAGTAAGATTACATATACTGTGAAACAGGCTTTATCCACATCGCCAACCCCTATTTATCTTTATCTGTATATAAAATATCAATTTATCAGTATTGAAATCCTAAAAAACACTTTGTTACACTTTCCCACTTCCCTATGAAAATGCTCAGCCTCTTTATAAGAATATAGTTCTATTATACTGGGTTGATGAGGTACCCTGTAGATACATTATGTGAAATGTTCCTTCAAAAATTAAAAACTTAAATTAAAAATTGGAATTGCAACAGCTCTGTCTATAAATAGTTAAGTATGTGTCAAGCCTGCACATAAATACGGCATCTTTGCAGTGGTTGATACTGAGAGTTTGAGTCCTTGCTGTCAGCTAATGATCCAGTGAGGATTACTTCTTGAAAAGTACAAACACTATGGAAACTCATCTGTGTTTGTGGCTAGTAGTATTTGTTTTATTTCTTCTTTGTGGTTTGTCCTGTGCAGGTGATGTACCTGTTTCTACACACAGTGAAGGGCACTCCCTTTGAGACGCCAGACCAAGGCAAAGCTCGCCTGCTCACACACTGGGAACAGATGGACTACGGCGTCCAGTTCACATCTTCTCGCAAATTCCTCACTATCTCACCAATTGTTTTGTAAGTATGTTTGCAGCTTTTTTATCTAAACAGTCATCTGCAGTAATGGTAACATTTTCTCTTTCATTGTGATGGCTAAATCAGCCTGTAGAGGAAGACAGTTTTTTAATCTCTTCTTCTCTTTTTGGGAACCTTCTGACCTTGTTTGTTTGAACTTTCACACTGATCTACATCATTAACGTCACCTTCAGAGAACTGAGTCAGAAACAGGGATAAACCTTCATCATGTAGACCAGAAGCATTGCAGAATGAAATGTGCTATCGCTTCATTTGATTATGTATATGTTTGTTGCGCGTGTTTTTGGTGTTCAAAAATGAAATATTAATTGACACTTTTCTCTCTCTACAGGTATATTCTCGCAAGTTTCTACACAAAATATGATCCCACGCATTTCCTCATCAACACAAGCTCCCTCCTTAGTGTCCTCCTCCCAAAGTTGCCTCAGTTTCACGGAGTACGAATATTTGGGATCAACAAATACTGACTGAACACTGGATTTTAACCACCAACACTGGACTTGTAGTTTTCTGTTTCTGCTGAACTTTTTTTATGTTTAGAGGTTAAGGAGAAGACAACCAGTTTTGGTTTGTCTTTATCTGTACAGACTGTGTGGAGTAATATATGAAAGTTGCAGTTTGCGCTGCCTCTTGCAGCCTGAAAAAAAAAAAAACGTAAATGCACTGCTGCTGTTTCATTAAAGTAATTGTCGTTACTGACATTCCTGATGTATGGTTATCAAAAGCCAGGCACTTTGCTCTCGGCTTCAAGAAAGAGCAAATTTGAACTGCACTGCTTTCCAATGTTATTCATCACTTTTTAAATGTCGTCACCCTCTGTCTCTGTCTCTGTGTAGCTTTCCCTGTTACAAACTGCACTGGCTGCACGTCTGTAAAACTGTGCCTGGTTGTTGCCATAAATGTGAATGAGTTCATCTCGAATTCATTGTGGCAGTGTGGTTTATGTTCTCATAACACTTGCACAGGTTTCCATTTTCTTTCATGCTTTTTTTTTTTTCTTGATTTACTATGAAGGAATTCACACGCAAGCATGCATTTACACACCTGCAATAAACACTGCAATCTTTGTTTTGCTATGATACACGTAATCATGTAATTTACCGTTTGCTTTACAAAGCTGGACGTCTTTTCCAGCTTATAAAATGAGTAGTGAGAGCTACACGGTGTGCACACGTGGTTGTTTTATCATCTTTATTCCACATCGTGAAAAACTGCACAATCGTTTTGTGTGAAGGTTTGCAAGAATCACGTTATCAAATGTGGGTGAGTGTGTAAGCTGTGGGGAACTCCAGACACTTTACATGAAGCCACCATGGGGGGGCTGTCACAGTGTTTGCAATATGCTCATACATCCGAGGGATTCCCCCCCCTTCCGCATATGATTTGGTCGTGTTTGCATTGCAGCGAGGTTTCCCTGTTAGTGACGCGTGTTTTGGGGAAGTAATTCATAGGAAATGCAGTGCAGCAACATGTGAATCTGATTACACTGTTGTTCATGCCAGCCTGTGCCTGGGAAACATGCAAATAGTGTTAGCAATATCAGCTATTTCATGTTGTGTAATCGAGTGTAATTGTGCAACTTTTATTGGGGTGTTCCCTGCCTTCAAATCCTACGAGGACAGTCACATTCAGGTAAAGAAGCCGGTAGCTGGATGCAGAAGGCAGGTGGGCTAAATGTCATCAGATATCGCTCACTGAAACGGAAGAGTGGGAGCGAAAGGATGAATACAATGTTGGTTTTTTTTCTCAAACATATACTGAAAGCTACTTGATTTAAGATAACGCTATCTCGGTCGAACAGCAAATTTGGTCATCGGCTGCAGTTTTTTCCCCCAGTTCTGCTTCCACTTTAAATGTAATGTGAACTCAGTATACCCTGATGAGAGGTGCTAGAACACTCTACTGTATTGTAATGTGTATTTTAACCTGAGAGCTTTCAGTGTGTGTGGCACATGCAGTGTATGCCATCACTTTATTTATTTTAACTTTAGATTTTTAACATACATTTACATGGTAAATTACACAGAAGGAGATGTCAACGGTAATGTGCAGATATGAGAAAGGTCAGAAGTTTCTATTTTGGTGCAGGTGGTAGACGTTCCTGAGGCTTCAGAGAAGATAGTCATATTTCTACATAAGATTTGAAGACAAAGGTCCAAGAAACAGGAAAAAGTCACATAGGGGGTTTTAAAGTAAAATGCTGTTTCATTTGGTAACTAAGGAAAAACAAAAGATGTCATTCACAAAGCTGACTGATTCATTTCCGAAATATGCAGATTCAAACTGTAAACTGTGGCTGTTAAAATCAAAAGTAGGTTCTGCATGTGTGTGTTTGATACAGTTCAGCCCTCTGCTGCTTGTAAAGTCCACGGTCATCTTCCTCCCACTGGTAATTTATTCAATAAGTCTCTCTAATGCTGTGCAAATAGTGCTGAAACAACTAGTTGTGAAGTCAAATGATCAAAATATTAATAAAAGATTAAGTTATTAGCAAATATGCATCTTAAACATTTCAGCATCTCAAATGCAAGAATTTTATTTCATTTTTTTATGTTTTATTCCATTGCACATTGGATATTTTTGAGTTTTTGTAAATTATTTTGGGCAAAACAAGCTATTTGAAGACATTGTGAACTGCCGGCACTGACTCATTTTACTTTTTATTAAAAACCTTTTATAGCCCAAATAAATAGAACATGAAGGACATTAGCTGCTGCTGAAGATGCAAATATCAAATCAATAAATCAATCTTGTGGTAAAAGTATTCAGATCTTTCACTTGAATTCATTGAAAGTTTTACTCAAGTAGAAGTAAAGTATTAGCAGTAAAATGTTCTTAAAGTATCAAAAGATAAAGTTATACAGCAGATGCTTGACTATGGAATTTTATGTTGTGGCTGCTTGTAGTAAACCTGTTTTTAACTATTTATATATTGTTGGGTAGTTTTATCTATAACGTAGCATCAAATATAAATGCATCGTATATTTTGTGTGTAGCAAAATAACTAGTTTTATGTCAGATAAATATAGTAGAAAGGACAATATTTCCCTCTGAAATGTAGTCAAGTGGAAATAGGAAAAACACCTCAAATTGTACTTAAGAAAATGTAGGTACCACTTTAGAAATAGAGAATTTTATGCATCACATAATAAAATCAAAGCCATGTGGACAGAATGTTTTTATTCAAAATACTTTAGGAAACTTCCACTGATTTATGTCCATTAAAATAAAAACCGTGAAATACAAACTCGACTGAACTTTTGCTCCCCGAGCAGAAAGCTGTAACAGTAACCACCAGATACCATGTTGCTGTTCAGAGCAGTGAAAACTCTTCACGATGTGCTGCACAACCTGGACGCTCTCATTGCAGCGAGCCCGTTTAGAGCCTAAAGGCTGTAAACAACACTTTTTGAAAATTAAAATGTGAAACCTCCTCTAATATGACTAAAGACAACACAAACTATCATCACACAGTAAAAAGTTAAATTGCTTTGACCTCCAACTAGTCTCAATAACTGAGTTTCGTCGTATTTGTAACCTCAATTTTAACAGAAGCCTTTGTTCCCTGAAAACAAAGCAATCTGGCTTTAGTGCACATTTTGAAATCACTTTTCCATTTTTTTAATGCTGATAACAGATGTGACCTCTACTGTTCTGCCTGCGATTGTCATTGATTTTTTTTTCAATGAAAGCCAGTTTTGGTCAATCTCTTGTGACCGACATGACAATCCAGGCTTTTTCTTAATCCAGCCTCCACAGTAATCACTCGAAGTGTCCACAGGAGCCATGGCGAGCTGTTCTCCGGCCACCCTTTTGAAAGGCAATGATAACCGTTTATATTTCCATACGTCTCCCAACGCTGTGCCGTCTCACTCTGGTTTCATCATTGGTTTGATGTAGTCTTCCTCGTCGTCGGTGTCAAAAAATTCATCCTCGAAAAAAGATCCTCCGAAGCCATATTCCTGCACGTGGACAGACACCTCATTTTGCATCAAGTGAGGGGACCCTTCAATGAAATCTGCAAACCTGTGGATTAAATGTTCACAGCACTATGTTCATTGGCACGGTAATATAAAAGTGTGATAAAGGATTTTTTTTAATCGTTTTACAATTCAATCAGAGTAGATTTAAAGGGGAACTTTTTCACCTTAATAAACCCGCGTTTAGAAATCATTTGGATGGTTAAATGGCCTGTTCCGGTGAAAATGGTGACCCCCCACCCCCTCAGGCGACCCCAGGCAGAAAACAACTTGCAACTTTGGGATACCGTCCGGTAAATATTAGAAGGTAATCGCGAGAAGCGAGAACGACGAGAGACACGAACGGCTTTACGCAATTCCACATAAACGCACACGGCGCCTCCAATAACGGTTAGTGTATAATGTATTACATCTCCGGTAGAATATTGCTCCACACAAAAAAAGTTGCCCGGCGAACAAAAGGACATCAGCAGCGGTAGAAAAAGGGAGGAGGGCGCCGCAAGTGATTGTTTTTACGACGTGTTGTGAAAACACGTCCCCAGAGCTTGTAGGGGAGCTCGCTGAGAAAACATGAGATGACAAAAGTAAAAACCAGCGAAGAAATGGGTAGAGTTGCCAAGTTCCCCTTTAATGTGGCTTTTTTGGACCTTTAAAGTCAAAGTGAAAACATCTCTACAAAATTGATCAAGTACAAATACAAAATACTTTGTTTGTGTAAGTATTCTCCCACTTGAAAAGGGCACATACATATCATCACTGGTGCAGCCAAGTCACGTGATTAGTTGATTGGAGAGCACCTGTGTGTAGTAGTCAAGGGGTTTCAATTGATTGTAGCATAGATACATGTGTACTGTACCTGGAACTTTGGTGACTCAGCACTGTGGCAAAACCTGCACCAGCTGAGGTCTCATCTTTTGCTGTTGCTCATTGTTAAAAAAAGCCACACAAATCCACTCTGATTCAATGTTGTGAGGCAGTAAAAACATAAAAAACTTCCAAGGGGGTGGATAGTTTTGAATCACAATATTATCACTTCAACTTCACGTGTAAATCAGTATGACTATGTTTCTGTTTTTGTTAACCCAAGCCTTGGACTGAGCTTAAATCAAGCATTAAAAGACATCATGAGTTTTAACAAATGATATACTTAGAACATGTCAACACTCACCTTTTTGGAGACTGAAGCCTGGACACTGCCTTCCACGGGCTGAACTCTGGGCTGTTACAGTACTTCCTCAGATCCTCCAGTGCACGCCGAGTCTCTTCCTCTCCCTCCTTCTGATACTCCTCCTCAGTCAACAGGCGACGTGGCTCCGGCTTCCAGCGAACGAACCGTTTGATTTTCCTGTACAAAACACAGCAAGTGCTTAATAAAGAAATTCCAAATAAATATCACTAAGGGAAAATGCAATATAACAGACTATTATATCACTGTATTGAGCTTCAGTAGTTTAAGTGGTGTCAACTTGTGTAAAAGACAGAAATAAGCACACATCATGCAAGACTTTTCAAAGTACAAATGACTCAAAATATAGTATAGAGATGATCAAATCATTTTGTGGAGTTTTAAGAGCTCTTACATACAATAACAAATAGGAAATACATTTGTGACACAGAGCGACATGACACTGCATGAGGTAACCATAGGAACTGTTTTAAAGTGGGACATAATATATTACTGTACTCTTACGCCACCTTCTGTCCGGATTGTAAACACCCACCTCCATGCAGCAACAACCAGGAAGACTGGGTACTCCAGGTTCTTGGAGATCAAACTTGCCACAATGATGGCGAAGGCAACTTGCTGAATTTGAATCCCTAAATAAACCAGGAGCAGGCCAAACAGCTGCAGCGTCCACGACAGGATGTTAACGCTCTTCTCGTCCACCAGAGGACCGTAACGGTAACACACAGCAAAACTGATGAATCCCACCACTGATACATAACCTGACAAAAACACAAACACAGAAGAAGAACTAACCGGGGGCAGAGCTATGCAACAAAAAGCCTGAATGCTGAATTTACAAATGTATTTACAGCCCATCATACATATATATGAATATATTTTGGGGCTTTTCCCCCCATCTTTATTAGACAGGACAGCTTAAGTGATAGACAGGGAAAGGGGGAGAGAGAGGGGGGATGACACACAGAAAAGGGCCAGATTCAAACCAATAACCACTGCAGCATTCGTACCAGATGAGCTATGAGGGCCATGCATACTGTATTTTGTATTTTATTCTGATTCAAATCTCTAGCCTCAAACTGGGGCAGATGGTATACTGTGTGCAGACTTAAGCGTGCGTAAGTAATCATTACATACTACAGACTAATAATCTGTGATGAGAACTTTAACAGATGTCCATTAACGTAACGTTAAAAGTCTCAAGGTGACAAATATATGGGAAGTTTAACAGAACTGTTTAACATGTTATATTAAGATGTTTCCAATTCCAGGAGGTCACCGTCTATATCAAGTTTGTGTCGATGAAAGGTCTGTACCTAATGCCACATGCCAGTGTTCTCGCAGAATCATGTTGAGGTTCCTGCAGACAAGCTGGATGGCGTACAGAGAAAATGACCAGCCGCCAACAATCAACACATAAAAAGGGCTTTTCTGCGGGAACAGCAAACACAAATGGTACAATGATCCAGTATGACGATAAAGTGATTTGACTTGTAAAATCTCGAATATTTGAGGATGAAATGACTTACCTTTGGCAGAAAGCGTGCCAAAATGAAAAAGAGGATGATGAGAGAGGCGATCATGCCAGTGCTCATACCAGCAGAGTAGAAGAAAACCTGACTCCTTCACGTAAGGGAGACAAAATGGTTGATAACATTATCAACAAATCACAATCCCGTTGAATCCCAACAACGGCACTTAAGGACGAAGAATTACCTGCTGAGTGAGTCTGCAAAGATGAACAACAGCGTTCCAGCGAGGAATACCAAAAACAGATAAATATCGAACTCTACAAGAAAGAAAGAATATTATGTTGGCTGTATAATATCTATTTATAACCAGCAAATTCATTGTGCTAATTTGTTTTCCCACGTACTGCGAAGGGGCTTGATGGTGTACGGAGTTTTATCAGCAGGGTCGATCTTGAAGCACGTCTTCTTGCTGAACAGGTTGATGTTAATAGTGGTTTCATTTTGCCGCTCGCGTAAGAAGCTCTGAAACCAGCCCCAGAAACTGAAGCGGTCCAGCTCCTGCAGCTCCTCCTCACCTTCCACAGTTTCCACCTTGAACACGTTTGAACTCCACACTCTGACCTGTCAGAAATCTTCAGTTATTACGGACATAATCAACTGAGGTTCACCATCAGGACACAGATCACAACATATGAAGCTTTAAAAGCCTCAAAGGGACATAAACTAATTATTTTATGATTGATAACAAACATTTAATATTAACTTAAACAGTTTTGGATTAGGAACACTAAATCTCACCTGAATCCGTGTCCATGTTTGCCTCCAGGATGGTACTACAGAGTTCTTATAACAGAACTTGTTGGACCCTGACCGGACGTACGTTTGTCCATCCTGGAGATCAATCACTGGATGTTGGTTACCTGCGTTTGAGAAGCAGAAGCATGTACGTAAGATAAACCTGTGACATGAACAACCAAGTTAAAAGATATCCATTACTTGAAAGACATTCACTTGAGTCAAGTATTTGACAGATAACGCTGACATTATTATATATCTTTTGTATTGTTTCCCTTCCCTGTATATGGCACTCAGGCCCGTGTCCATTGGTTCCTACTGAAGACAAAACTCATTCAAAATAGGACACAAATATATTGTTTCACTTCCTAAAACAACCGTGCACTTTAGTTTATAGCAGACGTCACTCAACCAGTAAAGAGTGCGTTTGTCGGGGACTATTTCAGCTACAAAGAAACCCAGATACTCTCTAAAGAGTATTTACACCTGCATTATTTGTCTGTATAGTTTTAGGTTTCATTTTATGTAACAACTTAAAGTCTGTTTAGCTTTCTTTCACTGATTACATAGTGACAGTACAGATAAACATCGTTACAGATAAGCACAGTGGAGCAGATAAAGGGCCTATAACTGAAACTAATTTGCAACCAATGTCTCTGGCTGATTGTTTAAGGAAGTTATTCATATTATTCATACATGTCATGGTATTTTGATTCACTGTGTTGCTTGAAAGTCTCTTTTTTTAAACAGCTGTTTGTTTTCTAGCTGCACATAACTTGGGTATTAAAACTTCTCGGACATTAACCTCAAAACACTACAGTTGAGTCGATTAATCACCTCTCTGACACTAGATATATTATATTACAGTTTCTGCACATTGATCTTTACAGATATAAAACAGGTTTAGTGACGCACTGGTTGTATAATAACCTGAGGGCGGGGCGGGCTCATCAACTACAGCAACCTTAAGGGTTTTTTTTTACAGATTTTGTGCACAATAAGTAGTTAAATTCAACTAAATTGCTCCCTTATACATTGATAACCCCACAGATTAACCCGCAGCGACCTGGCTATCAGAAGAAGCAGCACGCAGCATCAAGTAACTTCTGCACAGTTTGAAAGCTAACATGAGTTAGCCTGAGCAACGACACTAAAACGCGTATTATATTAATTAAAGTGTCCGTTGTGGCTTCGTAACACTGCTCCTTACCCGTATCCTGGTGGGAGGTTTGAGGGAAACAGGCCAGTAGCGCCGTGATGAGCATTAATTTAGCGCTTGTGGAAATCAAACCGTGCATCATTTTCATGCATCCCGCCATGATGATAGCACCATGTCCCTCCTCTCCGCTTATGTCCCGCCCCTTCCGGCCCGGGCAGCGCGGGTTGAGTTACAGGCCGTTCAGCCAATCACAGCGTCGGATGTCTGAACGTCGTCATCGCTGGTAAAGGTTCAACGTCTCTACGATTGGCTGACTGTTCTTTTATTATTATAATAATAATAATGATGATAATAATAATGATGATGATAATGATAATAATAATAATAATAATGATGATGATGATGATAATAATGATAATGATAATGATAATGATAATAATAATAATGATAATGATAATAATAATAATAATAATAATGATAATAATGATAATGATAAT